CCACCCCCACCTACAAGCCTCATCCCCCGCCTCCTTGACCTGTCCGTCTTCTCTCCACCTATCTGCTCCTCTATCCACCTTCCATTATTGTCTCCCCGCTCTATTTATTTCAGAGTCCCCTTCCCCTCCCCCATTTCTGAAGAAGGGTCCGGATCCAAAACGTCAGCTTTCCTGCTCCTCTGATGCTGCCTGGCCTGCTGTGTTCATCCGTCCCTAACCTTGTTATCTCAGATTCTCCAGCATCGGCAGTTCCTCAAAGATCATGCAGCTTGGAGCTGGAGGAACGCTAATCCTCTGATGCTGTGTTGCCTGCTGTGTTCCTCCAGCTCCACACTGTGTTATCTCTGACTCTAGCATCTGCACTTCTTACTATCTCTGACCTCAAAGATCATAATCTTTGAATAGCTGAGCCATGTGCAAATTGACATCAGATACATAAAATTAGAGTTATGAATACATGGCTTAAAGACTGGTGTAGGAGAAGTGCATGCTGGCTCGTAGGCAATTAGCAATGGCACAGGGGAAATTGGGCACTGTAGCATTGAGACAGTCTGCCCTGAATTATGCTGGAGCTGTAGTTCTAATGAACTACATAGCTAGGGAAGTTGAGAGAACTTTAATAGAATAGAAAAGTAATTTATTGTTACTTGTATTTTTACAAACAATACAACAAAAAGTGTTTAAGTCGCCATACCATGGCGCCTATATTAATAACAAAAGGTACAGTTAAGAAAAAAAACAAAATTAAGACAAAGTCCATCTTCTTTAAATCACGGCTCCTGGGTTCGTGAAAAGACAGTACAGCTGCATGACCACCATGCCGTGCCACTGGAATCCCAAACCGCAACGCTCCGCAGAAGCTGCCCCAAGGATCAATCTCAGGAAGGAAGATGTCGCAAAAGCTGCCCAGTGGAATCCCAGGCCGCCGGATGCCTGATTGAAACCATCTCATCGCCGAACCCTTCTGATAGAATCCTGGGTTGTGCCGCCGAAGCAGACCACCACTGGACGCGGCTGCAATGGCCACGAGGAAGTACCATAGCCGCTGCAGTAGCCTCCCAAAAGATCCCTCCTCCACCTCCAATGTAGCAGCCGATACCGGGTTCCCATGCTCACCCCTCCACCAGCCAGCTCCTTGCAGTCATCTGTCAAGAGTCCTGCTCCAGGCTCACCAGTGGCTGCCGAGCTCTGGACACCATTGAACCTGCCTTCTGCCAAAAATTGAGAAAAAGGAAAAAAGAGGAAAAAAAATCAAAAAAGCAGGAAGAGTGTACGAGGTCCGGGCTAGGAGCCCAGATGTTGCCTCCTTGATTCAGTGTCAAGGCAAGAGATTAAATGTGGAAAGATGTGAGATATCAAACAGTAGTACAGTTGCTTGTACAGTTGCTGGGAAAGCTCAGCAGGTCTGGCAGCATCTGTGAAGGAAAAAAGAGTCAACGTTTCGGGTCCGGTGACCCGGCAGTAATGTGGGAAATGAGAGTTACAGAGTGGCAGGAAAGGACAAAAAAAAGAAAAAAAATAAGAGTATAACAACAATTGAGACTTAGATATTTCAAAGATAACAAAAAGACAAAAGGAAAGGCTGTGCTTTTGAATGCAGCTAGTATTCAGAACAAAGTAAACAAATTGATATCGTACTCTAAAGTAAACAAACACAGGAAGGCTAATGGCATGTTGGCCCTTATTTCATGGGGATTTAAGTATAAGAGTAGGGAAATCTTACTGCAACTGTACAAGGTGCTGATAAGACCACTTCTGGGCTAGTGAGCAGTTTTGAGCTCCTTATTTAAGGAAATATATCATTTAATCAGAGAAGATTGACTAAGATCATCCTTGGTATGGAGGGATTGTCTTATGAGCAAAGGCTGAACAGATTTGGACTCTACTCATTGAAGAGTAGAAGGATGAGAGGTGATCTCATTGAGACATATAGGACTCTTGAAAGGCTTGAAAAGATAAATGCTGACAGGATGTTTCCCTCAAGGGAGAGTTTAGGACCAGAGGGCATAATTTCAGGATAAACAGGTGCCAATTTAAGACTGACACGAATAGGAATTTCTTTTGTCAGAGTGTGGTGAGCCCTTGAACTCCTTGTCACAAAGAGCTGTGGGGTGGGATCCTTGTGTATATTTAAGGTTGAAATAGATGAATTCTTGATCAGCAGGGGAATCAGAGAATATATACAGGAATGTTGGATCAGGCATGATCCAATTGAATGGCAGAGTAGGCTTAAGGGACTGAACAGCTTGCTCTTGTTCCTACTTTTCATACTGTTGTGGTCTAGTCTAAGGCTATCCTCAATATTTACCCACCGACCAATTTTCTTATCAGCTGCAAACTTTGAATCATAATTAAACACAGAAACAGACTCTTCAGTCCAACCTGTCAATGCTGACCATAATTGATCAACCTCTTCCCTATATACTAAATTGAAAGAACTACAAATAAAGATCACCGAGCCTGAAGTATTTGGTGCCTGAATGGTCCAAAGGTTCCCTGCAGTAAAAGTCAAGGTGGCATCCTGTGATTTTGTGGAAGGTGTTGGTATGGGAAGGGGACATAAAATCAATCAGGGTGAGCTCTGGAAAGGTGGCAGGGGAAAGTGCAACTGATGTTAACACTATGTTAGAGATTATTGTATAATTTAAAGCCCTTACATAAGAGATGGTAGAACACTTGCCGCTTAATTTCACTCAACCCTATTTTTCACTTCCTTAAAAGTTTGCAATGTTTCCTTTGTAACCACTCCCATTGCTGATGAATGTGGCCATTCACCTGAATGTTAACTCCAGTTTTGTTTTATGTCTTTACATGTGATCTGCTGCCTACGAACCAGCATTTTCTGTTTTTATTTCGGATTTCCAGCATCTGTCGGGATTGCAGAACCTGAGATGACGTGCGTTTAATGGCTGTCACAATTTTCTTTCCGCAGAGGAGTTTTATCTGAACTTTCTTCTCTGTCGGAAAGTGAGGCGGAGGAAACAGCACAATTTTCGATTGACGCTCGTCAGTCCGGTCCTGAACCTCCATCACCACTACACCTGCTTCTTTAAACTCCGCCATTTTGTGACGACCGTTATGATGGAACGCGATCTCGAGTGGCCGAGCTCAGCCAATCCGCGAGCGGTACGGCCGTTCAAACACTTCGCTCTGGGCCAATGAGTGCTCTTGGCGCCTTTGTGGAGCTCGTGAGCTGTAGCGGTGGAAAACAAGAACATTCGTATTTCAAAAAAAAACTGTCTTTTTAGAGCGTAGGAGAAGAGTTTATTTTGAAGAAAAGATTTAAACATTTCAGCTAAGGTAATGTTTTCCGTTATGCTCGATGGGAGTTTAGAAGTAAGAATTTATTGTTTTTCTTCGTAAACTTGTTTTATTTGACGTTTTGAGAGGGCGGGCGATGTGTTTCCTCCTGTCAAGTTTCTTCTGAAATGGTGGGTGGAAACAAATAAAATAACGCGTAAAAAAACCCGAAATGTTCTGCTTTTGAGCGCAAAGACATTTGAGACGTTTCAACCTCCCTCTACCCCACTACTTCCGTTAACGTGACAGGATTTTGATGGTTTTAGTTAAATTTTTTCTCGGAAAACTGCGACACTCCAATAAAGTTTTTTTTAAAACTTGATTTTTCTTTCCAGTTTGAGGGACAGAACTAAATGCGTTCGTCATCTATATGGTATTTTCTCCGAGTTCTAGTTAAAATTTTTGAACATCTACGGATTTTAAAATAAATATTGAAAGCGAATGGTCTCAAAATAACTTTTTTTCTATCCTTCCCGAACAGATATATTTTTTAAAATTTTCTATTTTTTGTTTAAGTATAAATCACCTTACTTGTTTTCGGTGCTTCTGGACGTTATTCTCTATGGCTACTAGGAAACAAGTGTATGGGGAGGTACTTCCTGTGCTTCATTGAGCTGTCAGTCTGTTTTTTTTAAAAAATGCGCCTCTATTTTCTCGGCGCACCACTATTAAGCAAAGGCTATTTCTTTAACTTGCCTTAAACCAGACATCTTTAAAAATATTGTAATTCAGAAACAAATCAATGCTTCGTTGTTTGTTTTATTCTTTGGGATGTGGATGCTGCTGGCAAACCCAGAACTTGTTGCCCATCCCTAATTGCCCTTGAACTGAATGGCTTGGTAGCTTAATTCAGAGGGTAATTAAGACTGTATTACATTGCCATTGGTGTATATTACATGGGTCTGACTGGCTAAGGTTAGGAGATTTCATTCCTTGTAGGGCATTCATGTTGAACAACTTTGGACCAACTCGTCCATTCCAACCAAGTTTCCCAAACTAAACCAGTCCTACTTGCCTGCATTTGGCCTATATCCTTCTTAAACCTTTCCTGTTCATCTACCTGTCCAAATGTCTTTTAAAATATTGTAACTACCTGCATCCATCACTTCCTCTGGCAGGCCATAGGAACATAGAAGATAGGAGTATAAGGAGGCCATTTGGCCCTTTGAGCCTGTTCTACCATTCATTATGATCATGGCTGATGGTCCAACTCAATAGCCTAATCCTGCTTTCTGCCCATAACCTTTGATCCCATTTGCTCCAAGTGCTAAAGCTAGCTGCCTCTTGAACACATTCAGTATTTTGGTCTCAACTACTTCCTGTGATAATGAATTTCACAGGCTCACCACTCTTTGGGTGAAGAAATGTTTCCTCATCTCAGTCTTAAATGGTCTTCCCTGAATCCTCAGACTGCAACCCCTGGTTCTGGACCCACCCACCATTGGGAACATCCACTCTGCATGTACCCTAACTAATCCTGTTAGAATTTTTTAAGTCTCTGAGACACCCCACCTCCCCATTCGTCTGAACTCGAGCGAAAACAATCCCAACCTTATCAATCTCTCCTCAAACATCAGTCCCGCCATCCCTGGAATCAGCCTGGTTAACCTTCTGTGCACTTCCTCGAGAGCAAGAGCATTCTTCCTCCAAAAAGGAGATCAAAACTGTGCACAATATTTTAGGTGTGGCCTCACCAAGGCCCTGTATAACTGAAACAATACATCCCAGCTCCTGTACTTGAAACCTCTCGGAATGAAGGCCAACGTACCACTTGCCTTCTGTACCACCTGCTGCACCTTCATGCTTACCTTCAGCAACTGTTGCTCAAGGACGCCCAGGTCCCTCTGCACACTCCCCTCTCCCAATTTACAGCCATTCGGGTAGTAATCTGCCTCCTTGTTTTTGCTTCCAAAGTGAATAACCTCACATGTATTCAAATTATACTGCATCTACCATTGATTTGCGCACTCGCCCAATCTATTGAGATGCTGAAGGATCTCTGCATCCTCATCAGAGTTCACCCTTCCACCTAACTTGGTATCATTTGCAAACTTGGAGATGTTACATTTTGTTCCCTCATCCAAATCATTAATATATATTGTGACATCAGTCCCCGGTCCTGCCCAGGTGTGACCCGTCCAATTTGTACAAGTACCACCTGCCCCAGAACGAGTCCCAATGCCCCAGGAATCTGAACCCCTCCACTGACGCCATCTTTTCAGCCACGTATTCATCCGATATATCCTGTCATTTCAACTCTGATGAGCACCTGTTCATTCCACATAAGAACTACCCTCTGTGGAAAAAGTTGCCCCTTGGATCCCTTTTAAATCTTTCCACTCTTACCTTTAAAAATATGCCCTCTAGTTTTAGACTCCCCTACCCTAGGGAAAAGGCCTTTGCTATTAACCTTATCTATGCCCTTGTGATTTTATAAACCTCTATAAAGTCATCCCTCAACATCCTACGCTCCAAGGGGATAAAAGTCCCAACCTCTTACCACTTAGTGGTCTTTTGTGTGCAGAGTTTTTGGCCAGTTTAAACTGTATTGTGAATGGGGGAGGGGGGGGTGCTTGTGAACAGATATAAACAAAGAGGATACCGTATATTGCCTTTAAGATTTAAATTGTGCTGCTCAGTGATTTTATGATCAATCTGTCGGACGCACCAGACCTTCTGGCCTAGAGGTGGGGACACTATCATTCCCCCACAAAGTTCCCATGCTCTGATTGTATGAAGACCTTTTAATCAACTGTGTAGATATCAGCAGAAGGGCTGGTTGCTATTCTCCATTGTTTGGAGATGCTTGCATCACTTCAATGTTCAAACTTTGAATTGAGAAATGAAGGAACAATTGACTTGAAGAATGAGCATATGAATTAGATCACTCAAAGTAATTTACTCATTATTATATCTTGATTTAAAATTAACAAGAGGAGTGTGTATTAGAAACTATTAGGCTTTTAATTTTAATATTTAATTTTAATTCTAATTGCTCAGATGTTTAAAAGATTAGCACTCTTCAAATATACTTTATATTTCACTCTTGAAGCTGTAGCCAGCTGACTTGCATTGTTTCTTCCTACATTTGTGATTTTAGACTGCGTTTGCTGTCTGCTTTTGCTCACAACTCACTTTTTTTAAAAAAATCTTTTGGGTCAATTTTTGCATGGACTGATGGAATGACACTGGTTTACACTAGAGGTCGCAACTTCTTTTCCAAACAGACACCAGAAAAAGTGTCATATGAACAAGAATAGACCACTAGGTCCTTCAAGCCTGATCCACCATCCAAAAAGATCGTGGTTGATCTGATTTCGGTCGCAATTCTACGTTCTTGCATAATCCCTGATGATAATCTTTCATACACTTGGTAATCAAGAATCTGCTGTCCAGCCAGCTGAGCGCACTGATCCCCGATTGGCGATGCAGTGTGATGCCAACAGCACAGGTTCAATTCCCCACTGACTGAAGTTACCATTAAGGTCATGCTTTCTCAACCTCATTCCTTTCTGAGGCATGATGACCCTCAGGTTAAACTACCAGCAACCATCTCTCTCATTAGAGAGAGCAGTCCTATGGTCTTCTGGAAATATGGCATCTTCAATCAAGAACGTATATACCTATGCCTTGAAAATATTTAAAGGTTCTACATCCACTGTCTTTTCAGGAAGGGAATTCCAAAAATACTCAAACCTTGGAGAAGAAAAAATTCCTTATTGTCTTAAATGGTGAACCCTTATTTTAAAACTTTAACACTGACCAGAAGAGAAAACATCCTTTCAACATCCACCCCACCCAGTTGAGTTCCCTTAGGATGTTAAGCTACCTTTGACTCTTCAGAGTTTCAGGCTTTCCTTAGAACGCAATCTTCTCACCCCAGGTATTAGTCTAGTAAACATTTTCTGAACTGCCTCCAGTGCATTAACATCCTTTGCAGGCACGGTGACCTGTGCTGAACACAGTATTCTAGATGCAATCTCACCAATGCTCTGTATAACTGAGGCATAACCTCCCTAGTCTTGTATTCAGTTCCTCTTGCAATAAAGCATAACATTCTATTAGATTTCTTGACTATTTGCTGTACCTGCATACTAAACGTCTGTGATTCATGCAGTAGGACACCCAGATCTCTGCGTATCAGAGCTCGGCAACATCTTGCCATTAAGAAGATTTTTCTTTTCTCTGCCAAAATTGACAATTTCACATTTTCCTGAATTGTATTCCACCTGTCAGATCTGTGCCCAGTCCTTCGCCTCTGCCTTTGTGGGTTCCTTTATGTTCTCTTCAGTCCTCAGTTTCCAATCTACCTTTGTGTCAACAGCAAATTTAGCTATCATACCTTCGTCCACATCATTTATATAAATTGGAAAGAGTTGAGGCCGCAAGACCAACCCCTATGGCAATCACCATCCTGACACATTGCCATTCTGCCAGCCTGAAAAGATCCACTTTTTCCTACTCTGCTTCTTGTTAGCCAGTCAATTTTCTATCCATGCCGATATTACCACTTTGTTTTTATTTATTCATTTTGTGGGAGGCAGGCATCGCTGCCCGTCCCTGGTTGCCCTTGAAGGTGGTAGTTAGCTGCCACCTTAAATCACTGCAGTCCATCTGCTGTGGGCTGACCTACAATGCTATTAGGGAATTCCAGGATTTTGACCCAGTGACAGTGAAGGAACGGCAGTATATTTCCAAGTCAGGATGGTGAATGGCTTGGAGGGAAACTTGCAGATGGTGGTGTTCTCACATATCTGCTGCCCTTGTCCTTCTAGCTGGAAGTAGTCATGGGTTTGGAACATGATGTCTAAAGGTCTTATGAATTACTGTAGTGCATCTTGTAGATAGTAGCAGCAGTGTGTACTGAGTAACTATGGTGGAGGGATTGGATGTTTGTGGATGTGGCGCCAGTCAAGCGGACTGCTTAGTCCTGGGTGGTGGTAAGCTTTCTTGAGTGATATTGGAACTGCAACCATGCAAGCAAGTAGGGAGTATTCCAT